TTCATCTCGTAATTGGCATGACTGCCACTAGGTTTGAGTATTTGCTTTGGTCATTTTTTTTCATTTTTCCTTAGATTGTTTGCTACCATATGTAATTTTTATTCTTTAGTACTTTTAATATCCCTTTTAGATCATCTTCTACGTAAGAAGCTCATTCACTGTTGTAGTACAAAAATTAGGTTTTTAATCTGGATCTGGGTTCAATTCTCAGCTCTGATATAGATATATATATAAACTTGGATATGCCTCATAATCTCTGCAGGTCTTAGATTCTTTCTCTGTAAAATGAGAAAAATAGCATATACCCTGCAGTTTGTTGGTGTTTGTGTATGAACTAATATTTTAAAAATCTCTGTACAAACTAGATGTTCAATAAACACTCATGAGATAAAATAAATAAATAAATAAATAAATTAGTTAAAAAAAATTTTTTTAATTGAAACATTGATTGTACATGCCTGTGGCATAGGGTTCATTTAATCCTTACACCAAACCGATGAGGTAAGTATTTTTCAGATGAGGAAAGTGAGTGACAAAGAAGTTAAATATCTTATCCAAAACCACAGAGCTAGGAAGCAGGGGAGATCCAAACGCAGGCAAGTCGGATGCCAGAGCTAAAGTACTTCCCCACCATGCAACCCACTGCCTCAGAGAAATAAAAATATTCACTGGGCATTTCCTCTGTGCTAGGTGCTGGGGCTTCTATACCAGTCCCTGTGCGTGTTTCTAAGGGTGGGCATGAGGCAAGATAGTAGCCAATCCCACTAAGTCATTAGGATGACAGAACTTCAGGCTCTTGTCATCTTATCTGGTGATATGATTGCACCTGTTTTAATTTTACTGTGCTACAGAGTGGGTAAAGAAATGCCCCTCCTGCCCTAGTTGATTATGTATACTATCTTGGTTTATTGGGATATGTCCCCCCAGGGCTTCTCTTCACCAGTGAGTCTCTACAATTCTTTGGAGAAAGGATCAGACTTCACTCCTCCCCAGCTCTGTTTGATCAAGCTCTGTACTTGGCTCTATGTAGATACAAATAAATTAATGGGCAAATGTAAAAAACATGTAAGTGAATGCGTAGGTGAATAACTTAATAAATGAATATGTGATAGAGAAGTGAGTGACTGAACAGAGAAAGAGCCTGTGAGTGAATGAATGAATTCTTGGGGGTGGGGGTTCTGATGAACACTGTAAGCTGCTCTAAGAAGGAGGCCTTTTTTTTTTTTTTTTTAAAGATGACCGGTAAGGGGATCTTAACCCTTAACTTGGTGTTGTCAGTACCACGCTTGGTGTTGTCAGTATCACGCTCTCCCAAGTGAGCCAACCAGCCATCCCTATATAGGGATCCAAACCTGTGGCCTTGGTGTTATCAGCACTGCACTCTCCCAAGCGAGCCACGGGCCGGCCCTTAAGGGGATCTTAACCCTTGACTTGGTGTTGTCAGCACCACGCTTTCCCAAGTGAGCTAATTGGCCATCCTACATAGGAATCTGAACCCGTGGCCTTGGTGTTATCAGCACTGCACTCTCCCAAGTGAGCCACGGGCCGGCCCTAAGAAGGAGGACTTCTGAACACTTCTGTGTGCACTCAGTTATGCCAGCATCTGCTCCTATGTTACTGATGAAAAGTGATTTCCTTTCTTATGACTGCCTTTCCCCCAACCTCCTTACTCTTGGAGGCTTGGCACACACAGTGGGTGGCATTCAGTTGATATTGCCTCAACAGCTTTAACTCCATGTACTCTGCTACTCAGGCTTCTGCAAACAACCCAGGTGTGGCCATCCTCCAGAGGTCTCCAACACTGACTACAGAGGGTCAGGAATAAAATAGGACCCAGAAAGTCCAGGGAACAACCCAGATGTCCTGATCATTTGTGAGTATTAGTAAATAACGGTGTTTAACAATTTCAACACCACATGTCAGGGAACACTATAAAATGGGGAGAGAGCATGGCAACTGCCTGAGATGGGCTATTGGTCATTGAACAAGACATCTTCCTCTCTGAATTTCAGGGTCCACATCTGTTAACTGAGCACTTCAAACATGTAATCTGTGTCCTGGGCTCTCCTCAGTTCACTCCTGGCTGCCATTACTGGGAGGTGGACGTGGGAACAAGCAAAGAATGGGATCTGGGTGTGTGCAAAGAATTTGTCAATCGATAAGGGGCAGTTCTACTGTCTTCAGAACTTGGCTTTTGAACTGTTGTAGGTTTGAGAAATAAAAAGCACCTCTCAGCCAGCACTAAGCCTTTAACCCCCGTGTCTGAACCCCCATTACACCAAGTAGGGATTTTCGTGGATGTGGATATTGGAATTATTTCCTTTTATAACATTAGTAATAGATCCCACATCTTCACATTCACTAAAGTTTCTGGTGTGGAGCCACTGTGCCCATTTTTTGCTCCTGCAAACACATGCAATGATGATCAAAGCTTCCTGAGCATTTGTCCTGTGATAGATCTGGACACTGCCAGATCTCCGGTTTATCCTGAGCAAGGCAAATAAACTTTTGGTCACAAAACATTTAGAAAAAAATTACTTTGTGCTCAAAACTGAAAACTTTTCTGCTTGGTACACACATAGGACAAAGTTACAGCAAAAAACAAACAAACAAAAAAACTGAATTAAAGAATCGTAAATACAAATAAGTGGATTATTTAAGAGAAATTTTACTTCAAATATTACATATTATCACAGTTAAAAAATAAAAAATAAAAAAAAATCACATTTTAAAGTTTAAAAACTTTTAAGAAGGCTGCCCCCCTGCCAATGTTCAGCTTAGATGTTCTCTGCAGGCTATTTTAAATGGGAGAAACAAAAGCACCCCTACTTTGACTCCTACTCTAACTCCCCATATCCAGCTATCCTTTTTGACACAGCTAAGATGATCTTGGGACTGAGGCAGAACCATACAATTCTTCATAATCCTAGAGTCAGGCGGACCTGGGTATGAATTCCAACTTTACCATCTGCTACCTGTGTGACCAGGACAAGTTACTAAGTCTCTGTTTCCGCTTTCCTAAAAAGGAGATAATAGGCTGGCCGGTTAGCTCAGGTGGTTAGAGCATTGTGCTGATAACACCAAGCTCCAGCGTTTGATCCTTGTACAGGCCATCTGACAAAACAAAAACAAAAACAGGAGATAACACCCACCTCTAAGAAAGATAAGGCCTGAAAAGTGATTACTCTTTGTCTGGCATGTAGAGAATGCCAAATCATACCAATGACTGGTCAGAATAAAGTGCATGACTTCATCACTATGCAACTGACAGGAGACAACTGCTGGGGAGGGAAAAGGGTCTTCAGTGAACGCTCTCTTCCACATTTGCCCCCTCTCACATTTCTGCACTACTGCATCTATTTGCTGCCGCAGCTAATGAACCTTCTGGAGTTAAGAAACAGTTTCATAAGAAGGGATCAGGGGGGCTGGCCTGTGGCTCACTCGGTAGAGTACGGTGCTGATAACACCAAGGCCACGGGTTCGGATTCCTATATAGGATGGCCGGTTAGCTCACTTGGGAAAGCGTGGTGCTGACAACACCAAGTTAAGGGTTAAGATCCCCTTACCGGTCATTTTATTAAAAAAAAAAAAAAAGATATATATTTGTAACATGTAAAAACTAACCACAGCTACAATTTATGAGCCCTATTGCTACACCCCACTTCTTCCTAGGCTTTGCCCCCTCTGCCATATCCACCCAGTCCAGGAACTGTGGGCTGCAATGGTCGAGTTTTTTTCCTCATGAAGCACCTTTCCAATATCACCTCTTCTGTAACACCTCCACAGGAGAAGCCTTTTCTGCCTGGACCACCACAGCCCCAACCTATCATCCCCCGCTCTGCAGTTTTGCTCTGTACTCCCTGATTTAGAAATTCTCTTACAGGAAACCATTGTCTTCACACTTGGTTAGATAATTGAAAAAGTTGTTTGAAAGGAGAAATCATAAAGATGACATCCATCCCTTAAATTGTTGTGTTTTAAGTTGTATGTCAACACATTTGCCAATCTTTTGACCCTGAGCCAAGGCTTTTATGTTGAGAAACCTCTATTGGTGTTTTCCAAGGCTTTTATGTTGAGAAACCTCTATTGGTGTTTTCCTTTATTGCCCTTACAGAAGCCATATCCTTACATAAACCAACGCAAGTTTTTTGTTTGTTTTGGTGACTGGCTGGTATGGACCTTTATTGCCCTTACAGAAGCCATATCCTTACATAAACCAACGCAAGTTTTTTGTTTGTTTGTTTTGGTGACTGGCTGGTATGGGATCCGAATCCTTGACATGAGTGTTATCAGCACCATGCTCTAACCAATTGAGCTAACTGGCCAGCCCCCCGAGTTTAGTTTCAATGTGGAGTGAAACCTTAGTCACTTTTCAAGTGACTGCAGAATCCTCAGGGACCCCCCTCCCCGCCCAAGTCTTTTGCAGTGGTCTTGTTCACATCTAATTTAGTGCATTTGAGGAGAGGGTGGCAACTCACCTTTATCAAGTCTCTCTAAAGCATTACACTTAGTTTTATTAGGTTTATTTTTCAATCATATTTCATTGGTTCATTAAGTCATATCATGACAGTATAGAGCACAACTGGCTTGGAGACGCACATAACTGATGGCCATTAGGTATAGTGCTCTTACCCCCTAGCTTTGGGTGTCACAATAACTCAAGTATCAGACAGAATATAAGACAGAGAGCATGGGAAGGGTTAAGAAGAATTTCTTGCAGACTGATTCCCTCCCACATTCTTCCATGGTATGTTTATCCATGTTAGTGCTGTTCTGATGAAGGCCTTGAAGGACTGGAGGCAGGATGGGAAAGACATGGAAGTCCATTTCTCATAGCTGCTGCTGATTTCCCTTGGCTGAGCCAGGGAAATCAACAATTTATGAAACACCTTTCATAAATGGAGCCCTTGGCTCAAAGCTATGGAAGAACATTAACCCTGTTCTCAAGGAGATTATAGTCTATTTGGTAATACCCATATGAAACACTTAACTATTTTTGAAAATTTTACTGTGTACCAGCAGCAATAAATATTTTCCTACATACATGATCTCATTCTGATGCAATATAATTTCTTTGCATGTATTATAGATTTTATCGATTTTTTGCACATATTATAGATTTACAAGAGCCCTATGAGTTATTTGTTTTTCTATCCACCCAAGGAAACTGAGGCACTGAGGTTTAAGAATGTGGATTGAGGTTACACACCTAGAAAGTGGCCAATCTGGGAACATTTTGTAGAGATCCAATGGGTCTTGACTTTCTGATCATCCTCACAGATCTTTTTTTCAACATTTCCAACTTTGTTTCTCTAGATTTAAATTTCATTCTGACTGTGATTCCAGCCTCTGGGCTACCCAGCCACAATCAAGGCAGAAAGAATCACACAGCAATACTTCTGAAAATCAGTCTTTTAATAATCTATTTTAATCCAATGAGTGGGGAAAGAACTAAAACATGTTTTTCCCTTGAGATTTTGTTTATAAGAATAACAGGTCAGAGGTGTCTCTTCCATAGGAAACCGACATCCTCTATGTCTTTAGAGGCTTGTTTTTTTTTTAATGTATAAAAGTGGACTTTCAACTCATGTGCATGCCACACATTTCCTCCCCCCCCCCCCCCTCCCCCCCCCCTTAAGGTGCCCAAAAGGGGCCCCTTTTGGGCACCTTAAGGGGGGGGGGAGGGGGGGGGGGGGGAGGAAATGTGTGGCATGCCAATGAGTTGAAAGCCCCCTTTTTTACATTAAAAAAAAAACAAGCCTCTAAAGACATAGAGGATGTCGGTTTCCTATGGAAGAGACACCCCTGACCTGTTTTTTTTTTAAAAAAAAAACAGGGCAGGGGGTTCTCTTCCATAGGAAGCCGACATCCTCTATGTCTTTAGAGGCTTGTTTTTTTTTTAATGTAAAAAAGGGGGCTTTCAACTCATTGGCATGCCACACATTTCCTGCCCTCTCCCACCCTGGCCCACCCTCTATAGGTGCGCAAAAGGGACTCCTTTCTGTAACTGGGGAACAGAATGTAAAAAAAAAAAAAAAAAAAATCCATCCAAGTGACCAGATACCAGAAATGACCAAAGGCAGTTTACACACACAACATCAGTCAACTCATATGTAAAAGGGGAAGCTTTTCTAATTGGAATCCAGAGCCAAAAATTACAAATGGAAGAGACTTGAGCTACCCATATAGATAATTTAAAAAATCCTTCCACTGGACATTCCCCTTCATTACAAAAGTATGCAAACAATCTTGATATAAATGGAAAACAGGTGGGCAGCTCTCTCCCTGGAATATGAGGGCATAGCTAAAATTCCCTGGGTGGAATTCGTGCCTGGACCATTGCCCCACCCTTTCAGGACAAAAGGGGAAGGATGAGGGGGAGCAGCAGGATACAGACCCCCTCGGGAGCAAGTGGGGAGACACTGGAGCTGCCCCAGGGGCTGGGAGTATGTTGGTGTGTGGCTGGCCCATCGGGGAGCCCAGTGGCAAGCGAGCCACAACTGGGCTGCACAAAGGTCTCAGTGTTCTGCATCCCTTGGGAGCCCAGAAGGTGGAGGGCAAAAAAAGGGAGAAGGGCTGATCTGCTTTAATTTCCTCACCTAAGGCCTTGAGACCAATGGCGTCTGTCTGGGACAGGCTAAGACATGATTATTTTAAGATTGCGGGAGGATGCTTCCCATGTGGACATAAGCACACAAACCATGTCTATCTGGTTCTCAAAGGATGACTTGCCAGTCACATGACCCCTACCACTGCCACTGCAGATCCCAAAAAGTGGTGGGGAGACCTGGCAGTGGGAACCAGCCCCTCCCCCCACCAGGAGATGCTGTTGCCACACAGCACAGGGACCGAGGCACATTGGTGGGGGTTGAGAGGAAAAAGGAGAAGAGAAGAAGGGAAACCTGTGGCCTGCCTCGTGACCGACAGGCAGATGTGTCTCCACCACTGCTGCCAAGCAACTGGGCATTTGCTTTTTGGAAGAACAAGAAAGGGGTGGGGGGAAAGGGACTTGAGGCCTGGACTCTAGGTTGGCCAGGAAGGAATGGGGCAGAAGTGAGCATTCTAACTACAGAGCCAAATCTCACGCATTTGCCTGAGACGTACCATCTTTCATTGAAGGTGCCAGATGGGAATACCTTTGGGCAGCCTGGTCCCAAAAGTCTGGAGCCTCTGGGGCAGGTCGGCTGCCCAGGGGAGAAACCAAGTGACTAGTACGTTCAAATGGTGGGGGCTGCGAGATTGTCAAAGCCTGGTTGAGAGCTGGTCGGCATGGATTCTGGGCTGTTCCCCTAGGAGGGAGGAGACTGCAGCCCTCCCAGGAGGGGTCCCCAACATCCCTAGAGCTCTGTTCCCCTTGCCTGACTCTGGTCTTGGGGCTCCCCAGGGAAAGGGGCACAACTTCAGGCAGTATAATTTGTCTAAAATTAAACATGGGGAAAAGAGGTAGCTGCAAAACCTTGAGCCAGCCCCTATCTTTCCCTCCACCTCCCCCACACACTTTGGGACACAGCCAGATCCTGGGCCAGATGGGGGCAGGAGGAGACAGGGTGCTGGAGGCTGGGCTGGCAATCTCTCTGGGTCTTCGGCTATCCAGGCCAGGCAGGACATCAATGCATCTTGCCCAGCTGGATCTTCTTCCAAGCCTCTGAGGCTGTGAAGATGCATGAGTCCAGAATGCCAGCGACAGTGAAGGTCCCGCCAATGATGGCACAGATCTGAAAGAGGGCGGGGGGAGGGTGTCAGAGGTCAGTGCTGGAGGAAGCACCAGCCCAATCACGAGATGATGAATTTAATGATAATAAAAGTAATTATAACCAACATCAGCTCCTTTAATTCCCATACTAGCCCTCTGAATGAGGAAAGGGATCACTAGATACATTTCACAGGTGAGAAAATAGAGGCTTAGTTAGGTAGCTTGCCTGTGTTCACTAAGTAGCAGAGTGTTGACTTGAACTCAGGTATGTCTTGAGGCCTGGGGCCTGTGGTCTTAACCTCCTCTCTAAATTTATCAGATAGTTACAATCCCATTTTCAGATGAAGGAATGGAAGTTCTGAAAGGTGGCGCCACTAGCCCAAGGTCATACAACCAGGAAGTGGCAATCCTGGGACTTGATGGGTAATAAGCAAATAGTCATACCAATAAATGCAAAATTACAACCAAGGCAAGTGGTTCTAAGGAGGGAGAGATCTATGGTGTTATTGGAAAGCTTGTATGGCTGGCTGGTTGGCTCAGTTGGTTAAGACTGTGGTGCTGATAACACCAAGGTCAAGGGTTTGGATCCCTGTACTGGCCAGTCGCCAAAAAGAAAAGAAAAAGAAAGAAAGCTTATATTAGGGCAAGGTTTCTAACAGCACTATTAACATTTGGGATCAGGTAATTCTTCGTTGTAGGGGGCTGTCCTGCACACCTAGGGATGTTTAGCAGCATCCCTGGCCACTACCCGTGAGATGCCAGTAGTACCCTCTCTCGCATATTGTGACAACAACTATGTCTCCAAACATTGCCAAATGTCCCCTGGAGGTCAAAATCACCCTCGGTTGAGAATGGCTGTAGTAAGGGATGTTAATGGAGCCTGTGCTCCTAATGTGACATCCTGTGGCTTCTCAGGCATCAGATGCTCCACCTAATTACATTAGTAACTTTGCTTTGAAGTCGTCAGAATTCTATTTTCGACTTATCAAACTAATACTGTTTTCCTCAAAATTTTATGGCCTACAAATTGATTTCTGATGACTTAAAAGAATCAAAGTTTGGATGATGGAAGACAAAGCAAGTTCATAGAAGGTTTGCAAGGAAACTAAACGTACTTTTCCTTTGAGTATCTACTTTATGCCACTCATAGGAAGCAAAACCACCCATCCAGCCCATATGCCTAGGAGCAGCAGGAGCATTACAGCCCAGGCGGGGAAGAAGCCTCTTCACTGATGTACCGATGGGGCACAGAGAGGGAAAGAACTCATCCAAGGTCACAGTGCCAAGTCTGTCTGCTTCTAGAGCTCTCACTTTCCCTCATGCCACATTTCAGGGGCATTTAAATGACCACAGGACTCAGAAGAAGCCAATAGTTGGCAGCCCCAGAGGGCCCTGGGGGCTGCTGGCAGCGCTGGAGGCACCTCGGGTGGATGGCCAACTACTGACACACAGCCACTGGACAACTCTGGGAGACAGCAGTTCCTTAATGGACTGATTGGTGCCAAGTGGTGGGAGACCAGAAGACATAGCAAAGGCGAGAGGGAAGTGTCAATTGAATCGGCGTTTATTTTTCAAATGCTATTTCCACAAGATGAGCTAAGCAGAGGCCTGCAAGGCCCAAGACAGACAGAGCAGGTCTGTGTGGACAGGTTGTAAGTGGAGCAGCTGGCATTCCACTAATAACTGCCCAAGAAACCCGAGCAGCCCCCCAGGGAGTAAAGAGGCTTGGGGGCGCTGGGGGGATTATTATGAAGTGTTTTAAGCGGGCAAGGCCTCTCCCTGCCAGCCTCAGAGCATGACGCAGGGATACTTTTCAGGGAAATGACGGCAGGGGAGCTGGTTTATTTTGGTGGAGTGGATCAGATGATGGGAGATTTTATACCACAAAATGCTTTTAGAGCTTGGATCAGAGGACAGGAAAATGTGACTTAAGAGCAATGGTACAAAAAATAAAAAATAACCCCCTCTCCCCCACACACATCCTATCTCCTCACAATTTGGAACCCAAGTGCCTATGACTCATATACACCTGGCACCCAGTCTGGAGCCTCCTTTCATTGGGAAGGCCCAGGGCAGAGGGAGACAACACATGCACTGAGGTACACAAGAAATCACATAGCCTGTGGGGAAACTGAGGCCCTGGGAGCACAGAAGCTGCTAAGCAACTGGCCCAGTCAGAGTGAGTTGCCGTCAGCCTTCAGGTTAAGGGAGGACCCTGTGGTGAGCTCCCTCACGTATCTACTGACACCACTCAGCCCAGGAATGTGCTCCTATTATCCTATATCTCTTGAAGGGTCTGGTCACTGGTCAGGTGAGGTGTGGGGAGGGGAAATACTGGCACATTCCAGAGAGGCTCCTCAAAGCTGAGAAAACTCTAACAGCCTGCCCCATTCTGCCACACCCCCTGCGGTCATTATTTTATCTTTCACCTGCTTGGGCCTCCCTGCCATGCTCATATCATAGGTGATGACTGGTGTGAGATGAGGCAGGGTCATGAGAAGGTAGTTCCTGGGGGTCTTCCGAGCCATGGAGCTCCCTGGATTTTGACATCTGGGAGGACACAGAAACCCCTAGCACCAGGGTGTTACCACACCTGGACTCACCCAGGGAAGTGGTCCGTTGTGGCCATCCTGTCCTGAGAAGGTCACCATTGCTATGTCGAAAACACAGGGAAATGTAGCTACAAGGCTGTACCAGGTGATACATCTGTCTTTGGGTCCAGGCCCTACACTGGTGGTGGCAAGATAACAGGCTTCGCCACATTTATGATTCCTTTGGATGATGTGGGGGGAAAAATGAAGCAACAGCAGATGTTACGAGGCTGGAGGAAATGCTGAGCGGATCTCGAGCAGGCTGAGGAGAGGGTCAGAGAGGCTGCTGCAAAAGGAGGGTGGGAACTGGGCATCTCCCTGACCCTGTGGGAACGAAGCCTAAGATGAAAACAGATGAAAATAAAGTGAATCATGCTCACGACCCTTAGTTCCCACAGCATGCCACACTCTTCATGCAGAAGAGCCAGGAGAACCAGGCTTCTCTGGGGGCTTGCACCTCCTTGCTGTACGTGGTGAGGGAGTATGTACGGTGAGGACTGGGGAGTTGGGGACAGTCTTTCTTTCTTTTTTTTTTTTGTGGCTGGCCCGTATGGGGATCCAAACCCTTGACCTTGGTGTATGGGCAAGACTTTTTGGGCCTCAGTTTCTTCATCTACAGAACGGGAAAAACCACTCCTACCTTGCCGATGGTCATACTGCAGAAAACAATTCTGGAGCACCTAGCACTTAGTAGGTGCTCAGTGAATGACACCTAATATCATTTTTCAGTTGACTGGAGGGCTCCAACTTTGTTGCTAAGATCTGGGATTTTCTAAACCTCCCTGAGACCCACTTTAATTAGAAAAATGGGTCAAATATCACTTATTCCCCAGGGCAGGACTTTGGGTCTCAATTTCCATTCTTCTACCTGGCACTTTAAGCAGGGGACAAGTCAATTCACAGGCAGATTCTTTGTAGTTGCCCAGGGCCCAGGCATTCCAAGGGCCCTCCGAAGTCATACATCAACTGATTCAACAGATGAGGTGACTGAGGCCCAGACAGAGTATTTCCTTAGGTGAGTACCAAGAAGTGTCTGGGATGAAGAACACCCCTCTGGAGCAAAGCCCCTTAGGCCAGAGGTTGTTTCCATTCTTCAGCCAGTCAAGGAGCTCCTGGTATCTCAACAATGCCCCACGTCAACCCCATTGCTTAAACTCTCATTTTCCTGAATGCCCAAGGGAGAGAAAATAGCAAAAGTAACTGATACACAGTAGCTGCTCAATACATGTTTGTTGAATAAGGAGTGAGTGAATGAATGAGAAAGAATGACTCACTCTGGAAGGGAGCGGAACATCATGCCCAGGGCAGGGGCAAAGGTGATGCACTCATAGGGGTGTTGGCCAGGAGCTGGGGGTAGGTAGGCAGTGCTGATGAAAGGTGGGCACGAAAGAAGAGACTCAAGATGGGGCAGGCAGGAGGCACCCCTCCCTCACTCACTCAATCACCAGCACCTTCAAGACCCTGGACTTGGGAAGTCCAGTCTGGGGTCCAGGAGGTACCGGGATGACATGGAGACAGCTTGGGCTTTGGAGTCTGGCAGAACCTGGTTTGGACCCCTCCTATCCATGTGCCCTGTGCTACCCTAGCTCCCTGTGCCTGTTTCCTTACTTTTAAACATGGGAAGACTGCTCCTCACCTCTTAGGACTGCTGCGGCACTGAATGAGAGCATCAGTGGCACACACACACTCAAATGCCTGTTCCCTTGGTCCTCACCACTGCCATGCTGCTGTATCTCCTGATCAGGCCCCAAGGCAGGGGGACAACCTGGCGGGGGGGGGTCTTCCTTGTGGGGACTGAGGGAGCAGTGTCACTGAACCAGGAATGTCCTCACCACTGCCATGCTGCTGTATCTCCTGATCAGGCCCCAAGGCAGGGGGACAACCTGGCAGGGGGGGGTCTTCCTTGTGGGGGCTGAGGGAGCAGTGTCACTGAACCAGGAATGGCCACCACAGCCAGCGCATGTGACCCTACCCTGGTCAGCAGCCACAGCTCCGGAAATAAAAACAAGGGCAATTTGATATCCAGGCCCCAGTGAGTCTGAGGGAAGCATATGCGTTTGCGTTCATCAGAAGTCATCAATAATGAGGGCCGGCCCGTGGCTCGCTCGCGGAAATAAAAACAAGGGCAATTTGATATCCAGGCCCCAGTGAGTCTGAGGGAAGCATATGCATTTGCGTTCATCAGAAGTCATCAATAATGAGGGCCGGCCCGTGGCTCGCTCGGGAGAGTGTGGTGCTGATAACACCAAGGCCACGAGTTCGGATCCCATATAGGGATGG